AATTGGTGGCTGACTAAATACTTTTTTTCCCCACTGTACACATCTTCTTTAATGGTAATTTTAGGCTTTATTATTTTTTTTTAATTAATGTTCTCATTGACTTCCATAGTATTTTTTCGATACTATAGAAGTCAGTGGAGATCATCAATTGTTTGGTTACCCACATTCTTCAAAATATCTTTGTTTATGTTCAGCAGAAGTAAAAAAAAAATGCAGTTTCGGAACAACTTGAAGGTGAGTAAATGATGACAGAATTTTTGAGTGAACTGTCCCTTTAACTTTCTTAAGGGTGATCATTTTGTTTTTCTTAAGGACCTAAGAGTGTATTCCCTGAGCCCATGGATGCCTTAAACTGTGGCACTGAAGGAAAGCAAGTGAGACGGTCAGTCACAGATCTATTTACATATGAATACTACATACTTAATGGTCTCATTTACACTTAAAAGTCACATGAATACTCAAGCATGCTGAATCCCAGTAAATATAATGACTGCATTTACATGATGAGATGATTAATTAAAACATGAGCTCACACATGGACACACTTGCAGGACAGTTGCCCGTGGCAACGAGTAAATCAAATGCCTAGATTCCTGGAATGATTCTGCACTAGCATTTTTATGCACCACGTACATATTGTTGAATATAAAATACCTCATACTTGAATGGTTTGAGCCATCTAAGAAAAATAAACTGTTTTACTTTGTGCTGACAGCAGTTGAATAAAAGGCCTCTGATCTCTGCTCTGCTATTTGGTGTCTAAATAATGAGTGTTGGGAAGAATCTAGGACATTACCTTGACAGAATATAGGACATGATACGGCAGAGAGGGAGGGAAGAGGAGTGTGGGAATAGAACCGATTCCATCAGCCCATAAGTGTACACACTAAAAACTGAAGGGGCTGTAAAAATAACTGAAGAAGCTTTATGGGATGGTACTTGAGTTGGCTATATGAGTGATAACAAAAAGTCTTAATACTTCTTTAAGTTATTGGTGTACTCAAACATG